CTGTTTACAGAGATCTTCTCAGACTGACCACTAGTTCCCAGGCACAGCTATTCACTATCTTCTGGAATGTTTAGGGATACGCCAGCTTCTTCCGCTTATCTCGAGCGTTGCTCTGGAGACGAGAGCACCGTTTTCACCCCCCTTCCTCCATTCCAGTCCATCACATACTAAGCCATAATATAATCTGTAGTATAAATTGGTGGTGTGAACCTAGCCATTGCAAAGTGTAAACCATAGACCATGGTTTAGACTGTTACTCAAATTACAGATTAGCACATATGTACCAGATCAATGTAACACAGCAAGTGCATCATCTCTAAAATGTCATTTTAGTTGCATTGAGCACAAAACTGCTCTATCAGTAATATTTTAGGTTGGATGTAGCTGCTATTATTGCTACATGTTCCCTCACAGAAGCAAGATTAGGTTTTTGTAAATTTTATGCTAAAAATCAAACTTTGGGAGAAAGAAATCTGTTCATTAATGGTATGGATCATGACACCCATTTTGAATTCACTCACATTTGATTGCTGAAGATTCTAAAATTTCATAATACTTTTTTATTTTTTAATCTTACCTTGATGGATTATCATTTAATTCATTTCTTTCTGAATTAGTGAAGAATGGACTGTTTAATTTATCTTGTTCCGGCTCTGGCTCTTGGAACTGAAATTCTTGAACAGACATAACAGCCTGTAAGGATGAGGGAGAGAGATGTCATCAGAAGGCAGCGGTATGACCCAGTTAATCCATATTTTTGTTAATTACTCTATTGTATTGGCTTTCTGCAAAAGCTGAAAATAATTGATAAAATATTAAATTGTATGTAATTTTTAAAATGTAGTTTAAAACTGATTACAATCTGATTTCAAACATGTTGGGCACAATTCAATAGTTTCAGTATACATGTTGACCTTTACAGGGATATTACATAATAGAAAATCCATTTCAAATCAAGGAGTTTTCTATAATTTGCAGTAAACAAATAATTATAACAAAAACTATGATGACAATAGAAGTACAGGGCAAGAATCCAACTGCTTCATATGCTGTTTGGGCAGAATGAATTACTATGGTGAAAAACAGTTAACTCAGTACAACATCTATTGTTTAAAATTAATTCGAAGAGAAACTACCCAAATAAACTTATTAAATGCTTGTTTTAGAATATATACCAATATTTATACTGACACATTCTCAATTAAAATTATAAATAACAAAATTATAAATAAAAAACAAACATGTTTAAAATGTATACAAACATACATTTATATACAGTTAGCAGTGTACATTAATACTGAGTTCAAAGCAGAGTTGATTAACTGATTACATGCCATCAAGCTGGCGACTCTTAGCAACTATAATCCAGACTTATAGTGTGTCCCCAACCTGGCCCTTTAGGTCTTCTAACAGTGTACCCTTCACTGCTGTAATCAAGTCTATCCATCTTCTGGTTGTCCTCTTTTCTTCCTTCTTATTTAAATTAGTTACCACCTGTCCACTGGCATCCTTTAGCACACCAATTTGAAGTTGGAATCTCCTGAGTTTGGAAAACTTTTGGAAGTTTTTCCATATTTTATCATGATTGTTTCTATTTTCAATGTATTTACATATGTTGCTGTAATACTGCTCCTTGTCTCTTCTAATGTCCCTCTGAAATTCTTTGTTAAGTTCCTTCTTGTCTTTATTGGCAATCCATCTTGTATACGTGTTCTGTTGATTTTAGATTGAACCTGACCATAAAACTGATTTTCAGTCAGGATTTGAAAAAAGAGAAGGAACAGCATTGCTTTCATAGTCAGGAAGAATATAGTAAAGACAGTACTAATTCAGAAAAAGTGTTGTTAATCCATTAATGCAATCTGCTGTGAGATAGATAATGTTGATATATGATAGACTGATCTACTCTGAGTTACTGAAAATATAAAATCCTAATCTAGATTCACACAGTATCTTATCTGATATAGTTGGATTTTTCCCCTTCTCCATTATTTTGGAGAATTTTTATATGAGGATAGTGGTAGTTGAATAGCTATTTATATACTAAAATAAGGGATTATATTCAAAGTGTTAGCTTATATTATTTATTTACATCACAGAATCTGACACCCTTTTTGATTATAATGCAAACTGTTTCTAAGAGTTTACAGTGTGGTACAAATGATTGCTGAGCAAGAAATGTGAAACAGTATGTTGTATGTGTAGACATGATACACTTCTTATATTGGATTCTGGCAATTATATTATTTTTGTAAACATGTGATCCTGATCAGATAAGACCAGTTAACTGGAAGAACAATTAAATGAAGTCTCACAGTAAGATGAAGTCAGAAAAGTGATACTTTCTTTCCATAACTCTCTGGGAAACTGATTGGATATTCTGACAGCAGTCATCTTTATTTCTAATGAAAAGGTTTCCCCATGTGCACTTGCATCAATAAAAACCTATTCACCCCCCCCCCCACAGGCACACAGAGCTGCTCTTAGATCTGCTGAAACTGACAAAATGGACAAAGGTCAAGACTATGGATTCTTAAATTTATTTCCAATAACCAATTTGTAGCAGTCAATCTCAGTTATTTTTCTACAAAATATCTGATCCTGTATACTCCAGTACTGTAATAAGAAACAAAACAGAGGTGTGTGAATAGAGGTACATGTAAGGAAAAACTATGCTGAGACAGGCAAATTGGTGGCCCCCAGTCTGTCTTCTCCAGAATCTGAAAATAAAAACATGCCTGAAGTATCCTAGAGGATAGCCAGTGGGATAGAATAGATAGATTTTAAGACTCAAAGGAGTAGGAAACTTCTGTTCAAATACTTCCTCAGCCATCAAACTGGGCAAACCACTAACTCACAGCCTACCATTAGGTAATATAAAATGCTGCCCTCCATTTTCTTAAAGACATGCCTTTTTAAAAACCCATACTCTATTTTCTACTTAAATATTACTGATAATACAAGTAGTCCCCATTTAGCGACTGCCTTTTTTTAGAGACCATTCACAGTTAATGGGGGTGAAAAAGTAACTTTACGACCAGTCCTTGCATTTACAACCTTCACAGGTATGTAAAGCAAAGGAAAGTTGAAGTAAGATCGTGGTAAAGAAAGTGAAGTACAGTCATGGTTTCACTTAGCAACTGCTTTGCTTAACAACTGAGTTGCTGACCCCAATTGTGGTCACTAAAAGAGGACTACCTGTAAATTCAGAAAAATATGTTACAAATTAAGATTGTATAAACAGCTGCGTGTGTGTGTGTGTGTG